TGCCGAATCCCGAATAGATGATTTTAAAAAACCCAACATTTTATTGAACACAAAGAAAAGAAACCCGAATCCCTATACTGATGGTAATACTGTAATTGTAGGTAGCTATTTATAGTGTAGACACCGATTTGACCGTAAGAAAATCTAAGGGGAGATCCCATCACGGGGAGTGAATGTATACCGCGTCTATAACGGTGTGAGCATGCGCTAAACAGTAAACACACACTGGGGGTCATCTCACAATGCCACATCGGGTATTATATACATTTCCTATAGTCATTATATGCATTTAAAAACAAAACGGACCAGATGTCATGTATTAATAGTTAAAATATCTTGACACTCGAAGAGTTGGTGCTTCTTAAAGAAAGTCGACATAAGCCTCGGGATTTAGTTAAATGAGCTAAATCTCTTATCTTTGGAAACTAAAATGGACGAAAATGGGTCAAGCAGTACATGTTAATGCACTATGAATGCACTTTTACAGTTATTTCTCACAATACGCGAGCAGATCAAAAGGGCGTCCTGGCTAGAGATAATGAAGAATAATTTATAGGTGACAGGTTATACCATAGAGGAGACGGTCCCATGTGACCTCATTGTTGACCTTGAGCAATATTTTACTGTACATTCATTACGAACTGTTGTGTTGACAACTTTAGTTTTTGTTGTTAAAATGGAATTTAACCCTGATGCGTCGAAATACGGTTGTCTTACCATCGATAAGGTCACGTGTAACCGAGTTTTTATTAGCGACGCCTGGTGGGAATTTCTTCAGCAAGGACACCCACTGAATGGTAGTCGCTCGCGTCTGGTAAGTCCAATCTACAGTACTGTTGGACATTTCACTCACCCACTGACGTTTAGCTTTGTTTTAAAATTGTTCACCGTCTTAAATATTGGATATCAGGAGCCCATATTTTCACGGTTAAGATCACGACACCCCTATCGATTGGAATGAACCAATAATTCGTGTTTGTGATGTCGAGGGATCTACGGCGGCTAAGTGGGTCCCGTGTTCGATCCCTACATTGGCCGAGAAAATTCGTCGGGATTTTCCGGCGTGGTTTCCCCTTGTCAGTGATGCATGACAGAAGGTCTGGCAAGGGACAAGGTACAGTTGTTCGAAGGTGACGAATCACCGAGACCCCGTGTACACATTGGCTTGCACGTAAAAGATCCGATGGAGAAATTTACCCTCATAGCACACCGTATGGGGTATGCCCGTCTTTATTAGCCCAGTAGGGGCAGAACACTAGGACGTTAAACCCCATTTCATTTCATTTTCATTTTTATAATATCGAAGACTCTGGATAATATTTTAAGGTTTAGCTCCTTTACTCAATCTGATTAAAATACAGATTTATATTTCGTTTCGTTTTTTTTATACTTTTGATGGCCTACAGTACATTAAGATCTGATTTTTAAAGCCTATTCGATTTTTAAAGCCTATAACAGAGATTTTATAGGATTAAAATAATCAATATCCGAATTATCCAACGCAAAAATTTAAAGACTTGGCCCATTTCCTCTGTCTTAAAGTATTAGCTCAAACTACACTTGGATCTGGAAGACTTGTTATTTAACTCGTGTTCTGCTTGAAATGAGGGGCCAGCCAATCAAATGGTCTGTCGAATCGAGTGTTTGACCTTTTTTGCCCGGAACTGTGGGCAATCCACTAGTAACATCAATGCTGATTGGTTAATCAAATGTCTGACGCCATAGGTCAAAAGTCGGTCTTTTTACCCCTGACGTGACCTATCGCTATAACTTGTCAGATCTTCATGTAGTGTAGGCCATCGAAAGTATAAAAAAACGAAACGAAATATAGATCTGTATTTTAATCAAATTGGCGGTTTGTAAAAAAAATCACCAAAACAGTTCATAGGAGTTAACAAGGGTCGTTGTCCATCTAGCCAGTTTAGTTCTTGGTCTGAAAATGAAATGGAATGGTGTTTAGCGCCTTACTTTCTGATTTTGTTGGTAGTTCATTTCTTCAAGAAGTTATTTGAGTCTAATAACCATGTCTATATCAGACTTTAAGACGCTAGGCTTTCTTTGTAATGTACAAATTTGTATTGAGTCTAATACGCATCCCTATATTAGACACTAAAACGCCGGGTTTTCTTTGAAATATCCAAATATGGATTTGTAATTTGTAACGAGTCACGTTTTATTAAATGTCAAGACCATGGGTTTTATATAATGTAAATATAAATATATATATATATATATATATATATGTCTTCTATTAGTTAACGATATACTATGTAACCATAGACAATGGTAACTATAGCCAATTAAAACCACAGTGTTACTATGTAAATATGTATAAATATACTATACTGTCCATCTTTATACAATGACATTATTTATGAATAGTCCCAAGACGGACGAAAAGTACTTTAAAATGTTAAAATGTTATTAAACCAGTGTTGAAGTCAGTTTGTGTCGGCATACCCTTTTTTATCTTTTCATCGTTTACCGTGAAGCAAAGTAGTACAGCTTTACGGTTGTACTAATATTTCTGGATATATATATATATATATATATATATATAATGCCATGCTAGTTTGGATTAAAACATTTACCAGAATTTTGAGATCTTGTGCAATTTTTTATTTACCAATTACGGAAGATTGTACAAATTTGTACTTGATAGAAATTACCACTATAACATCAGTGATAACATTATGAGATTTCACCAGATCCCGTATACATGTTGACGCGCACTGGAAAGAACCTTTAACAGTTGGAATTTGTTGACGATTAGTCGGAAACTCGGTTGTTCGATTTGTGCAGACAGTACAAACACTATTTTTTTTCATTTCAGTACATTTCTTTGTTCGGGGAGCTCGACTGTTGTTAGATGGTCCTCAATCTCAACATCAGACCCACCAGAGAGGAGAACAAACAAGCTAGCTACCATTCAGTTTTCGAACGTTAGGTACGTACGAACAATCCAGATCGTGGATGCCGCGCATGCCTTCTACACCCGGAACAACTACATGTGACTATTATTATGTTGATAATTTTTCCCATTTACTCGATTTCTTTTAATGGAATCTTGGTCGATTACCCCTTCTACTTCTTTTATTGGAATGTTGGTCGATTACCCCGTGTGGATTTAATACCATTAATAATTGCTATAAAAAATGTCCACCATGAGTAGTGAGGAAATGTCGCCAACCATAAGCGATCAAATAACAGGACGAAAGTCATCCGGAACACAATGCCATTTTCTTATACGAAGAAGTAAACACCATCAGCATAGATTGGATAAAAGTTTTTATATGAAGCTTTGAATTACTTGGTTTCATTCAGTTAAATATATATAGAATAGCTCGTAATTTACACGTACTAATGGCCTAGAATTACTTGGCTCTAAATAAATCATAACGCGGGATGTGGTATATAACAGACATCATACCATTTTATAAGGAAATTCAGAATAAAAACAGGATATTAATCTTATTACAGAATGGCATACTTCTTCTGACATTTAACTTCACCCCAAACCGGCATACTATGTCTGAAATGCTATGAGGCGTTATTCGCAGAGTTTTCTCCCTGCTGAAACTTCAGTACGTTGTTCTGGCATTTGCCTTAACCTCAAATAAAATATTATGTAACGTCCTTCTTTTCTGCTTCATCCGGGCTGCTGACAATGCGGGTTTTTGGTGCCGTTTCACAAAGCCCACGTAGTTATACGACGTTATCATGGTAAGCATGGAAACCACACGGACACCGGTGTCAGCAATTGACATATTGGAGATCACGTCTCGACTCGATCTTATAATCACACCAAACCTGGATTTCTACCAATCGTGATTGAATAATTCTTAAAACAATTCTGCATATTGATTACTTTATAATTTTCACCATTTGGGCCTAGTTGAATTTCTGCTGTTTCAATTAGAGCGAGTCATGCCATTGAACGATAAAAACTGTTAATGAGAAAACTACTGTTTGGAAATGGGCAGTTGGACTTGGATGAAGATTAGACGGATAACTCTGACTTTCGAGTAAAATATTTTTCATTGTATTCATCCTAATATGTTAATGGACATGTTTACCGGATAATAAAAATAATTTAGTATACAAATAAAACCGTCAACCATTACTATGCAAACTTAATTGTCCTTAATTAGAAAGTCCATATATAACGTATTTAAATCTGATCCGATCCTAAATCTATCAAAGAACTATTTCACTGGCATGTATGCGTAGTGATTAGTCTGAAAGTAGACCTTATCACGAGAGGTTTATTCAGTCCTAATTCTTCCTTCATCCTGCTTTAAAACGTCTGCCTGCCTATTGCCCATTTGCGTTCCAATTTCACGAAATCCTGAACACGCGACTTTGTCTTCGGAAATTTATAAGAAGTTTAGGTTGTTATTCTCAGTTTCTTCTCTGACTTCTAATCGCGATGGATTCTCAGTTTCTTCTCTGACTTCTAATCGCGATGGAATATATGGCGCTGGTGGAAAGGCACACAATTGAGTCGGCTTCAATTTTAATGATAATTAATTAAATGGGGTTTAACGCCCTAGTTTTCTGCCCCAAATCGGGCTAATGGTTTTCGCGACTGTGCTACGGGGGAAATTTTACCCAGACAGCGTTACTACGGTATACTCAAATTCCGAATTCTGTCACTAGACGCTTGTCTTTGTGAGGCGCTCTGCCATGCACCATTGCCATGGAAACCAAGCTGGGAAATCCGGGGGAACTTTCTAGACTAACACCGAGATTAAATCCCAACTGGCTCCAGTTTTCATGTTTAATGTTTCATTGACTTTAATGTTAATTCCCGTCTCTTAGACCGGCTCTAACTTTTTCCCAAATTTTCGTGCGGTTGAACGCTTTCTACCACAGATGGAGCATCATGTGGCAACCTCTTGCCCAAAAGTACGTATGAGGTTCACCATGGAAAACTTGAGGTTCACAAGCTGAACGTAGCGGGTAAACATGCAACTGTCCGCCCTTGCAACCTAACCAACCTCTCATATTCTCCCGCCTCAAAATCATGAATATTCATTATCAAACCTTGAGAGAATATGTATGTTCAACCCCTTTTCTTAGATTCTACACCAAAAGGTCAACAAAGATCGCCATGCGTAGGAATAATCGATGAGCTGTGTCCAAATGAGATTCTTGGCTATCACTGCCGTGGATGGCCTCCCCTGGACCTAGAAATGATCCAACACAGCTTGTCAGTTTGTTTCAATTTAAACCAGACTATTTGTGTAAGAGTGGTGTTTACAAACCAATTTAATTATCTTTAATAAGTAAAGAGGTCAATAAATGATTGCTTTCTGTTCAATTTGGGTCCATTTAAGTAGATAATTAACAACCGAATATTTATTTATCTTGGTGATTAATAGTTATAGTCACGAGACAAATATAACCAGACATAAACCGGAAGGTGTTATCATTAAAGGGGTATTATCATTAAAGGGGTTTTATCATTAAAGGGGTATTATCAAAGATTATATAAAGAGTTGACAGTTCTCGCTATAAGATTTAAAGAAAAAGATAACGTAAATAGAATATGCCGAAAATTTCAGTCAAATTGTTCCGCTCTGAATCGAGATATTAGCTTTTAAATTTTAGCCTAGCCTCGATCATCATTATTACAGTCGGTACGATAAAGTCTCGATTATCAAATTTTACATTTAATTTTATTTAAAATAAATGTATCCCAATCCGCTAAATATCACAGGCTAGTTGATTATGGTCTGGATCAATTAATTAATGTCTAATTAATAATTTAGATAACATTTCAGGGCTAAAGAAAGACCTGTTATAAGCAGATTTAGCTCTTGTATAATGTATATGTTTAAATTTTAGATATCACCTTTTTTAGTAAGCAGTACTGAGAAATATTTTGCTTGAAGGTTAAAGATGCGAAGGTTATTAATGTGCTTCAATTTGTCATTCATGGTGGAGGTGACATTTTCCCTAGCCTCCGTCTGGCTTTACAACTTAGTTAATAATAGACCATAGCAACGACTATTATCAGTAAGGACGGTTCCATCAGCCATTTAACACTTGTTCTAATTTATTCCACAGAGACAATTACGCAGCAGAACCTCACCAACTTAGCACAAATCAAGTATCGAAAGACACGCATCCGACAACTGCTGTTAGACGAAATAGCGCGAAAACAAATTGTAATTTTTCATACATCTAGACTGTATACGCAAATTTTATAAATGCATTTGTTATGTTTAGTGTTGGCGAACCTCGTTTCTATTTTAGTGAAAAGTCTCACAGACTGGAGGTTATTGTCTGGAGTTTCAGATATCATGAAAACCATGATACACCACTGAAAAGAAACTATTAACAAATTGCAAGGTTACCATGGTGATCGTCATCTCATGTATTGATATATATGACGGTGTCATGTACGATGCAGAGTAAATTTGCCCTCTCCAAACAACCTTTAAATTACAATTTAAATTGACAATAAATTGACATGGCCTCTATAATTTGGATAGATCGGTTTATATTGACTAGATCGCGTTAATATGGGTTGTAAATAATTGATTATGCCCCTCTCCTTTAGGCTAACGATTTAAATTGACTACACCATTTCAATTGGGTAGAATTATTTAAATTGACTACACCATTTCAATTGGGTAGAATTATTTAAATTGACTAAACCCCTTCAGTTTGGGTAGAGTTTTTTAAATTGACTACACCCCTTTCATTTGGATAGAACGATTTAAATTGACTACACCTCTTTAATTTAATGGACGACGCCTCCTCAATTAAAATAGAAGGATTTCCAAATTACATCGACAAAACCCTCTTTAATTCGGTGTAATAATGAAACAATAAAAAACCCAAACACATTAAAAAAGTAAGTGATATCAACAAATATTTGTACATTATAATTATTGATATAAATCGATGAACATTGACGTAAACGAAAATCAGATGATCTGATAACAAACTGTTTTACAGAATAATACATCATTGATCATCCTGGTCTAGATGTCATCCAACCAACTCGTATTATTAAATGATAAATTGTTTGCTCTTGATTAATAGGAAATCATCACTTTTTAAATTCTGGCATATTGAGGCTAAAATTTGTTTCGCGAAATCGTTATCTGTTTTTAATATGGAATGAAATTTGATGGCACTGTGATTAAGTTCATAGAATATACAAAGGCCATTAAATATGGAATATAATCATTAAAAAACACAACACAGTTTATATGGAAATACAATCACTGGTTTATAAGTATAGCACGACGTTTCGACAAGTATACTCTTATCGTTATCAAGCACAAATGATATTTAGTTAAACTAAAAGGTGATATTTATAGTAAAACAAAAAAGAAGCCATAGATAAATGCTGTTATAATACAAGATAATAGTTAAATTGATCAAAGGATAATTAAAACTTAAATATCCCGAGTTCGAGCCGGGTATTGACCGTGAAAGTTCCTCAGAATGTTTCCAGCGTGGTTCAGGAAGGAAAGCTCTGTCTTTCGGATGGGACGAAAACCGATGTCCCTTGGCAATTGTAATTCGACGAATTTGCCTCGTGCATACCGCGTGCGATTCTTGTGCAGAACAGCCGTATCTTTCTGAGCCTCTTGATTATTATAAACCCACAGGATCCTCCATTGACACATCATTACGTCACATTGACACATCATTACGTCACATTGTATTAAACCCAGTAACTGTGTATATATGACCCTCCACCATAAAACCAGTCACATGTCCCAATGTTAAAAAAAACCTGTGATTTAATGCTTATTTAAAGGGGATCAAAACAGCTTTCTGTTGATATATAAAATATACAAATCACAAAAATGGCTGAGTTATGGCCATCTGAAGTTTATATGGTTGCGTCCTTCAAAATTCAAAATAATGAGAAATTTGCCTTTTAAAAGAGCCAAAATAAATCCCATAGTAACCCATATTACTATTGCATACATTAAAATGAAATTTTGGAATTATAATAATGTGTGGTGTACCAATATTTGTACAAATTTTCATCAAAATATTCCGTTAATAACATTTCTTCTTTGTGTTTTTTTTTTAAACTGTACGTGAAATAAACATTTTTTCGCATTGGCTGTGTTTTATCAATAATTGGTTTTATATCACATTTAAAGGGGTAAAACCTAGACCAAACCATCTTATCAGAGTAGAAATAACAGCACATGACTCAATTTCACATGGTGTTATATGGTTAATTTAACAATAACTTAATAACATCACATGAACAAGTCATTTTCGGTTTTTTAACTTTCTAAAATACCCTTGGAATCACATGGGTTTTTTTAGTTGTGGTTATGAAAACCAAGTCCCCTATTCACACAAGTTTGACACTTTAAAGTCCCCTATTCACACAAGTTTGACACTTTAAAATATGCTTTTATTAGTATTACATATCAAGACACATTAGCTTAGGTTTATGTTTGATATCTAACAACTATATAAATTACTGATTTGGCTGGTTACCATGGCAACATTTTTTAAAAATATAGAATTTTCAAAAATAAACCAGCAGCTGCCAGGCAAGATACGCCCACATTTTGCAATAGATGGATAGAGAACAAGCTAAAAAAACCCCACGATTTTTCGTTCAAACAGGGGCTATAATCTAAGAAGTTATGGTCTAAAATGCGTGAATATCTAAAGGGGCTGTGATCTTTGGGGTATAAAGATATATTTTAAGTTTCTTCGAAATCTGACAAAAATTGTGACCTCTATAGGGTCCCCAAACTTCGTATTATATACTTGTGCACAATTTGCGTGCAAGGAGCAGCCATTTTGTCGGGCAGTTTCGGTTCGATTTTCACGAAATTCGAACTCCGCCATCATTGGGGTGTAACGGTGATATATTCAAATGTTTTTCTAAATCGGGTAAACATTGTGACCTCTAGAGGAACCAGAAGCTAAAAACGTGATTTTTCGTTCAATCAGGGGCCATAGTTCATGAAATTTCAATCCGATACATGCCAATATCGACAGGAACCGAGATCTTTGGGGGATAGACCTATATTTCAAGTTTAGTCAAAATCGGATGAAAATTGTGGTGACCTGTAAAGTGTCCACAAACAAATTTGGGCAGACGGACGGACAGGGGCGACGGCATAATACGTCCACATGAAAATATGGGCGTATAAAAACGAACGCAACCTTCTTTATTTCAATGAAGGCCCGAATAAATAATAACCACGTGATTATAATATTTAATACAATTAATGACCATCCTGTCAGTTCAAGGCATGTTCACTATTGTTTACCATATCGCCATCCTGTCAGTTCAAGGCATGTTCACTATTGGTTACTATATCGCCATCCTGTCAGTTCAAGGCATGTTCACTATTGTTTACCATATCAAAAGTGTCAATCGTCGTCAACTAATTTAGACATGCTCTGTGTCATTGTAAAATGTTCTCTTTGTTGGGCTTTGCTCCTGTTTGTTCACTGCACTTTATTAATTTTTATTGTTTTCTGAAATTCTATTCGGATTATCACCCTTATTATTGTTAATATTTGAATGTTCTAACTCATGGAATCCACTGATACACTATCACCATCAAGGAACGCAATTCAGGAGCATTATTTCTAATGGAACTTTCTTATAAATCATTAGGGGTTTTTTCCACTTTGAGTGAAGTCTGTATCATTACTTGCCCTGTACAGCGTAGTAGACGCGTACGATTGGCCACAATCTGATTAAAATATAGATCTATATTTCGTTTCCTTTTTTTATACTTTCGATGGCCTACACTACATGAAGATCTGACACGTTATAGCGATAGGTCACGTCAGAGGTCAAAAGGCCGACTTATGACCCTATGACGTCAGGCATTTGATTAACCAATCAACATTGACGTTACTAGTGGATTACCCACAGTTCCGTGCAAAACACGCCTAAAGCTCACCGTAACAGACCGTTTCATTGGCTTATCCCTGACACCATTCAGAACACGAGTTAAATAACAACTCTTCCAGATCCAAGTGTAGTAAAG